CACCCGTTGACACGTCTCACACGTGCGCACATAGGTGCTCGTCCATTTGTACAACTTAAGCCATCAATCGTTGTGACTCACACAGTTGTACGTTTTCTCACGACCGAGATGATTACTGAGTGGCGTGTCGTAAGTATCATAGAGGATGCGGTATTTCAAATTCTCATCATGAGGAACCACAATTCGTGGTGTACCCAATAAATCGAAGCTATAATATAGCAAGCCGTTATTCAGCGAATATCGGTGCAATCGTGCATGCAGTCTTGATGACAATTTCTTGTCCGAGTCTCCAAACCCTTTGCTCCCGAGAGCCCGTGGCAGCGCTACTCACATCCCATCATCCGCATACGCGCGCGGATCAAATCCGTCACAGACGACGTTACAGTTGTAACGTGAGCAAGCTCGTAGTCTTGTCTGCGTGACAACGCATCAGCCAAAACATTCTGCTTTCCCGGCTTATACTTCACCTCAAAGTTATATTCCGCAAAGAAGGATAGCCACCTAGCCATCCTCTGCGAGAGGTGGGGCGACGCAGTCGCAGTGCGTAATGACGCATGATCTGTGTTGATTACGAACGGCTTGAAGCCGAGCACGTGGACCCTGGGCGTGACAAGTGCATACTTCATCGCAAGTAGCTCCTCGTCATGAAATGGGTAGCTCTTCTCTGCAGCTTTGAGCTGTCGAGATTTGAACGGGATCACCCGATCTCGCCCCTCGGTGTCAGCTTGCAGCAGTGCACAGCCGATGGCAAAGTCCGAAGCGACACAGACGACGCTGAAAGAACGATCGGAGTCTAGCAGCGCCAGTATCGGTGCATGCAGGAGGCTGTCTTTGATCCCGTCAAAAGCCTTCTGACGTTCGGTGTCCCAACACAATTCCGCATCATTATTAAGGAGATTGGATAATGGCCGAGCTATTTTGCGTAATTTACGCTGTACGTGTGCAAGTGGTTGGCGAGACCAAGCCTCTTACGCAAGTCCTTCCGGTTCTTTGGAACCGACCAGTCTACAATGGCCTTAGCCTTAGT